TCTGTTTCAAAAAAAAAAGTACAGAGAAGAGTGAGTAAATTTTATCAGGAGGACTTTAATACAGCAGCCGTCAGAACTTCCTGAGGGCTGTGAAAAACTATAGTTTTTCACATAGTACAGAAGTACTATGTGTTTTCCTTTGGAGATTTGAAACATAGGTAATTCTCTGTTTAGATGTAATATTACCCAGAAAAAGAGAACTGACTTAGATAATGTCTTGAGATTCCCATGCTTCTTTTACTAACATGGAGGGAAAAAAAGACAACCAAAAGAGACTCCCAGAGCAAGTCTATACACACGAAGCCCTCAGCCTGCTTACCCAAGTCCTTCGGACACTAAGCAGTTTTGAACAGCTGATTTTTTTGGAGAGCTACGTGTTTGATCAGTCCAAGAATTAAAATTTGGATAAATATATCTATTAAAACATTTTAAAATTCCCTGAGTTTTTTCCTCCTTTCTTTGGACTTTAAAGTTCTTTTCTAAATATTGTGAATGTTATTCAAACTCATTATAGAAATTAAAAAGAAATAGCAATAATCTTACCACCCCCAAATAGTTAACATTTTCTCCAAGTTTCTTAAATTGAGTACATCAGATATCATTCAAGGTTACAAAACAACAAGATCCTCTGTGCACACAGCTGTTTCAATGACGGTGAACACTTACTGAGTACCTTCTAAAGCCTGGTACTGTGCTTAACAATCTATATACAACGGGCTCATTTAGCCTCACAAGCCAATGTGGTTGGTGATCTCAAATTCCTATTTTATGGATAAAGAAAACAAGACTTTGAAATTCACCAAAGATGCATAATAAGCCACAGAACCTAAATTGAAATCATTTTGTCCAACTCCAAAGACTTATTTACCTCTTACCCTCCTCCTAAGAGTATAAACCCACAGAGGCCACATATTTATGAGTTTTAAGGTCTCTCGCATGTGCTTTTTTTACACACACCTTTTTTTTGAGACAGAGCCTCAAGCTATCGCCCTGGGTAGAGTGCCATGGCATCACAGCTCACAGCAACCTCCAACTCCTGGGCTCAATGGAGTCTCCTACCTCCTCCTCCCAAGTAGCTGGGATTACAGGCGGCCTGGGCTGGATTCAAACCTGCCAGCTCAGGTGTATGTGGCTGGCGCCTTAGCCATTTGAGCCATAGGCGCCGAGCCT